CGGTTTGTTTACCTGCTGCGTCCACAGGTTCGGCTGATCGCAGCTCCCACAGGCCGCGGTTTGCAGCTCCAGGCCAATGGGGGCTGCGGGAAGCAGCGTGGGCCGAGGGATGTGCTGGCCGCCCTTTCCGCAGCCCCCATTGGCCTGGAGCGGCGAACCGCGGCCAGTGGGAGCTGCGATTGGCCGAACCTGCGGACGCAGCAGGTAAACAAACCGGCCCAGCCCACCAGGGGCTTTCCCTGAATAAGCGGCGGACCGGCTTTGAGAACCACTGCTCTAAGGCATGTTCAGATCGACAGCTGGAAAAATGCCTGGTGTTACTGATTCCAGTCAGTGTGGTTGTCTTGTATTCCAAGCCAATATTGGTGTGGGTTGGTTTTTTTTTGCTAATTTCTTCCAGTGCTAGTGATCAGGAAGGATGTGTGGCGGGGACACGTTTTGAGACAGAATTATGATTTTTAAGTTGGTGGTGTGCCTTTAATGAAAATGGGGATCAGCTGGTAGGAAAGGCTCCAATCATTTGCTTTCTTCTCTTGTAAATGACTCCACGTACCCTTTGTATGAAATACTTTTGCCAAAGTTCTCTGTTTCCTTTTCATTCCCTAATTTTGGACCATGCATTCTGGAGTTATTTCAAACAAACAAACAACCCCCCGACTAGAATTGAGTCATTTCTATCAAACGTTTCTATGGTCTCAGGGGAAGGATGTTTTGGTTTGAGAGCACAGGGCTCGTGATGCCAGCCGCCACTGCCCACTTCTTAAATTTTCAAACAAACACCATTGTGTTTTCTTCCTTCCTGGTGCACATGCTTGGAAGGCGCTCCCCAAAACCACCCACAAAGCTACCTCATTGTCTTCCTTCAACTTGCTCCTCCAAACTCTCCTAAGCCCCTTGGGATAGACAACTTGTACCTCCCCATACTGGCGGGGCACAATCTAAAGAGGAGGACTCACACGTGACTGCCCCATGTGTCTCCTCTGCCCAGTGACCCCCCCACCTGGGACCGCAGTGCTCTCCTCACCCCATGTTACCTGTGGGGGGTGGCCTCCGACTCTCTCAGCCCGTTCCTGGCAGCTGGGGTGGCAGTGGGCTGAGCTCTGCCCCTCTAACCCCCCGGCACACTCAGCCTCTGTCCCCAGCATTGAGCCCAGGCAGGGAGTGGGCCACTGTTGCCTCCCAGCCAGGTCCTCTCCGGCAAAAGTGGCTCCATCCCGTTCCCCGCCTGGCTGCCAGGGAGACTGGTCGAACATGCTGGGGGAGCAGACGCAGGGAGAGAAGGACAGAGCCCCTCTCTCTCCCTGGCAGGCCAATTTGGGGGTGCATTTGACCCCCCATGCCTCCCCTATGTGCTGCCTCGTCTTTTCATTCTGTGCTTGTACAGCTCCTAGCACAGTGGGGTCCTGGTCCATGAGTAGGGTTCCTAGGTGCCACGGTCATACAAATAATAATAATAATTAATAATCAGAAGAGGTGGCTTCCGTGCCTCGCTCTGACACACACATCCTGTGTGATCTTGTGCAGAGCCAATTCCAAGCCTCAGTTTCCCCCACCTGTAAAACTGCTGCGTGACCTTGGACAAGTCATTGTATGTGGTCTGTGCCTGTTTCCCCACCTGTAGGGGAACTAAAGCCCAGAGAGTAAAAATGACTTCCCTAAAGTCACAAAGAAAGTTGGGGGCAGGGAGGAATTGAACCTAGAGCTGGTGACCCAGTTCTTTAAGCAAAGATGAAATCCCTGGAGTGACACCGCTGTAAAACTCGTGTGAGTGCAGAACCATGATCAGAGAAAACGGTTTATTGTTCCTCTGACGTACCCCCAGCCTTTCCCCTTCCTTCGTGACTTAGAGTCTTGCAATCTGCTATCACCTCTTTTGCTGTATGATGCTACCCTCTAATGCAAGAATAGCCTTCCTGTGCCACAGTCCCCAGTCCGACTCCACGCCAGGGAAAGCGGCCTCCGGGCAAATAGCAGCTTCGCCTGTCTATGCTGGGAGTTTGCATTGGTGCAGTGACGCTGGTCCCAGGCCACCAACGTGCTGTACAAGGGCAAATCCCCAGTATAGAAAAGGCCCTTGTATAATGCTCCCAGCAGTGTGAGTGGAGCAGTCTGATTAAGTGGCATTTTTACACCTGCTTTGGACAGGTGTAAATGCCTGGCCAGTGAAGAACTAGGTCTGTCATCTTTCCCTCTGCTGGCTTCTCAACCGGGCAGCAGCCATCACAGATCAGCGTATGCACAGAGTGCCTGGAAGAGGAGGTGTGAACGCAGTTTCAGTTCTTCCATTTTTGTTTCAAGCTGGCCAGCACATTCTGAGGATATTTTTTGCCCCCCTGAGTCACAATCACACACAGCACTGGATGTACCAGCAAGAGCTGCATTAGGCCTGGTCTACACTGGAAAGTTATACCGGTATCACTCTGTTGGACAGGGTGTTTTTTTGTATGAATATAGTCATGCCAGTACAGCACCCCCGGTGTGGACGCAGTTAAACCGGCATAAAGGTACCTTCTACTGGTGTAGTTTATTCCCCTTTCCATATGGGAATACCTATAGTGGTATAAAGCACGATTATACCAATATGACTGCGTCCTCCTCACTAGGTCATACTGCAATAACTATACCAGTATTCGCCAAAAGAACAGGAGTACTTGTGGCACCTTAGAGACGAACAAATGTATTTGAGCATAAGCTTTCGTGGGCTACAGCCTACTTCATCGGATGCATAGAATGGAACATATAGTGAGGAGATATATACAGGTCTGTCGCATCTTACGCGCATTTAACATGCGTGATTTCAACTTTACGCGGTCAGCAAAAACAAACAAAACAAAACAAAAAAAAAAAAGAGAAAAACAACAATTTTAATACTATACCTGTAGTGCGGGCGATTTCACCCGCCATTGAACTGAATGGGGTTTTGGCTATACGCGGTTTTCGCTTTACGCGCTAACCGCGGAACGGAACCCCCACGTAAGATGAGACAGACCTGTATACATACAGAGAACATGAAAAGGTGGGAGTTGCCCTACCACTCTAAGAGGCTAATTAATTAAGATAGAGACTGGGAATTGCTGAGCCATTACACACATTGAATCTATTTCCCCATGTTAAGTATCCTCACACCTTCTTGTCAAACTGTCTGAAATGGGCCATCTTGATTATCACTACAGAAGTTTTTTTCTCCTGCTGATAATTGGTCATCTTAATTAATTAGCCTCTTAGAGTTGGTATGGCAACTTCCACCTTTTCATGTTCTCTGTATGTATATCTATCTTCTTACTGTATGTTCCATTCTATGCATCCAATGAAGTGGGCTGTAGCCCACGAAAGCTTATATCCAATAAATTTGCTAGTCTCTAAGGTGCCACAAGTACTCCTGTTCTTTTTGCGGATACAGACTAACACGGCTGCTACTCTTATACCAGTATTGTTCACACAACACAACTTGGACAAGGCCTAAGACAGTAACCTGGGAATGTTTATTAGAAAAGCCCCTTTCTTTTGCAAGTGGAATTGCATGAGCTGAGGTTTGCACAAAGCTGGCTGTGGGAGAGGCTTAAGGGTTGCCAAAAGGGTTGGAAGCATACAGTGTAACCTGATGGAAGGATCTGTTTGGAAAATCGCTGTGTGACGATCAGTCTTTCTCAGCTACCCTAACAACATTTAGGTTCCTAAATCAGGGCATGGAAGCCAAATCGCTGATCTTGTGCGACCTGCTTGCTAGGCATTTTAATGCAAAGAGAGGACAGCTTTAGTAATAACTGGCTCTAACTGGCACTGCAGTGAGGGCTAGTGGAATGAGTAGGAAGGTAGATCATAGAATCCCAGAATCCTAGAATATCAGGGTGGGAAGGGACCTCAGGAGGTCATCTACTCCACCGCCCTGCTCAAAGCAGGACCAATCCCCAACTAAGTCATGCTACCAGTTGCAGAGTTCCAATCCCAGCTCTCTTGCTAAGGAGCTTTGGACAATTTTCAAAAGCCAGGGCAGGTGCCAATAGCGATTTGGGGCCCCATCCAAGGGACTCCGGTAGGATTTGGGGTGACCAAGGGATTTTTAAAGGTGGGTTTTGGACACGCTTTGTACCCAGTGCTTTGTGGGGTTTTCAGAAGGGTCCATGCAAATTCCTTGGGTGCTCAGGTCTAAGCAGAAATATCCACTAGGTGCATATTAGCATATGTCAATCAGCAGAAAGCACACGCTAATGAGGCCTGGACATCCACTGGGGAGCTGTATGAAGGAGGGCTATTTTCAGACACATCTGGAAAAAGGCCTGAACAATAGGGTTTGGGGCAGGTGCAGGCAGTGTGGGAAATGACACCAAGAACAAGGGCAGCAAGAGAAAACCAACTATGTGGGCCCAGAAGCTACACCATATATTAAACAGACACCCTCCTTCCTCCACCAAGGAAGCGTTGGTGGGAAAGTTTCTCAAGAACCTCTCTGCCAATGCAGAGAAGAGGCTGTGCGCTCAGACTGTACCTCCAGGTAGGAGCCATGGCATGAACCTGAATATTTAGTCACCCCAGGCCTGACCCCCATCCTTGCGTCTCATGCAGCCATGGTGTCTAGGGACCAACGTGTTTTCTAACAGACTGCAGAGTGTCACCTTGATTCCTTCAGAGGGAGGGACAGTGCTGCTGTCACCTACTTCTCCTCCTCCTCCGTTCTCCTCTAACTCTCCCTCCAAAAGCAATGCACAGATTGATTATTTATTACCGTGCAAGAAAAACACAAATTAAAACAGTGGCAAGGACCCAGCCCATGCTCTTTGCCCTCTGCTGGATTTTCAGGTATTTTAGACTCCATGGCAGCTGAAGAGAGACAGCAGCCCCCCGGGGAGCTTCTGAGCACCTCCTACAGGTGACACGGAGGAAATCTGCATTGCAACTCAACGTCCCCCACCCCACCCCTAGTGCTAGAGTGGGACCTGCATTATCTCATAGACCACGGTGAGGTTTTCTGCTACCACCACCGCATAAGGCCTGTCGTTGACGTGGATCTCTTGGTGCCTGTTGAGGCTTGATTTGCGGGTGAAGTTCTTCCCGCATTTGGTGCACACGTGGGGCCTTTCCCCGGCGTGGCTCAGCTGGTGCCTCTTCAGGTGCCTGATGGCACTGTAACTCTCCCCGCACTCAGTGCATATGTACGGCCCCTCCCGCGTGTGGATCAGCTGGTGCCTCATGAGGTTGGCCTTCTGGCTGAAGCTCTTGCTGCACTGAGGACAGGTGTAGGGTTCCTCCCTGGTGTGGATTCTCTGGTGCGTGATCAGGGTGATCTTCTGCCGGAACCCCTTCCCACACTCGTTGCATGCGAAGGGCCGCTCCCCCGTGTGGGTCCGGCGGTGCGTGATGAGCTGGGACTTGTCGATGAAGCTCTTCCCGCAGTCAGCGCATTTAAAGGGCCGCTCCCCTGTGTGGATCCTCTGGTGGATGATGATGTTGGACTTCTGGGTAAAGCGCTTGCCGCACTCGGCGCACTTGTACGGCCGCTCCCCCGTGTGGATCCTCTCGTGCTGGGCGAGCTGGGACCTCACAAAGAAGCTCTTCTGGCACTGGCTGCACTTGAACGGCCTCTCGTCCCGGTGGGTGCGCTGATGCTTGGTGAGGTTGCCTTTCTTGCTGAACTTCTTCCCGCACTCAGAGCACATGTGAGTCCGCTTTCTCCTCAGGCCTCCCCTTGGGGCGCAGAGCGCTCCCTGGTGGCTTTCCTCAACTTCCAGGCCAGGGGATGGTTCCGCTTCTGTGGTGCTTATCTTGTGTCTTACGAGATCTCCTGTCAGATTTCCCTCACACCCGTTGGGTTCCTGTGGGCCTTGTCTCCTGAGAGGTCTCTGATGGGCTGTGAGATCTCCTGTTGCTGTTGGATTTCCCTCACACCCACTGGCTTCCTCAGGGCCCTGTCTCCTGTGAGGTCTCCGATGGGCTGTGAGATTCCCCTTCTTAACAAAGCGTTTCCCACATTTGGCATACTCATTTGCTCTCTCTCCCGGCTGCGTGGTACTTTTCTCATCTCCATCACGCTTGCCATGCCGGGCTCTCCGGTGGGCTGTCAGATCTACCATCTGATCAATGCTTTCCCCATATTCGGTGCATGGCCCCAGTCTCTCTGGTGCATCTAGTTTAAGGATTTCCATTGTACCACTGCTCTGCTCCCAGGCTGCCCTGGCGGACCAGGCCGCTGGGCTGTTATGGAAGCTTCATTCGCAGGGAATGGGTGTGTCACATCTGTTTCCGGCTGGGTTTTGCTCTTTCTTGGCTTTATCCTGATTCATGAAGATTTCTACCTCGCTGCGGCATGCTCCCACTTCTCCTTCCTCATTTTGTTTCCTGAGGGGGCTCCCATTTTTAGTCCTCTCCTCCGGATGCTTCTCCTTATTTGAAACTGTTGGGCTTTCATCTGCTGGATGAACAATAAAATACAATCAGGCATTAGTTCAGAGACTGATGACAGAAGAAAGGCCATAGTCAGGGCTGTTAATTTTGGAGAAAATCTTGGAATGATCACAGCTAAGTTGAAGCCCAGGAGCTGGGGGCATTGTTATGTAAAGCTTAGAGCAGGGGACTAAGTCTCAGGACTTCTGGTCCTGAGGGGGCCATCTTGGCCACTGACTTGCTTGTGACCGTGGCAGTTAATTTGTGCTTCAGGTACCTCTGCTTCCCCATCTGTGAGCTAGACAACACAGACAGAGGGTGGGAGAAAGGCGAAATCACTATCCCTACGTGGCAGATAGTGAACAGAGGCACAGAAAGATTGAAGGATGAAATCCCGGCCTGTAGCGGGGTGAACACCCACTCCAGCCCTGAAGGGGTTGGAAAAGCTCTGCAGAGGGCTGGGGCTGTGAAAGGGAGCAAAACCCTGGCTGATTGGGTGAAGTGGCTGCAGCTGGGCCACGCCCCAATCAGGCCTCAGCTGGCCCTATATAAGAGGCTGGGAGCCAGGAGCTCAAGAGTCTCCCTCTGCTTGTAGAGGGAGAAGGACCTGGCTGCAGGGAGCTAGACACAGGGTACCTGAGTGGAGCAGGGCTGGGGAAAGGCAGAGGAGCTGGGGAGTGCCTGCCTGGAAAGCCCCAGGCTGCGGCCTAGCATAAGGCCAAGAGGTACTGGGGGTTGCAGGGGGCAGCCCAAGGGGTAGGCAAAGGCAGCAGATCCAAACCCCTTTGCCTATGATGAGTGGCTGATACTGCAGTCTGCCCTAGTGAATGGGGCTAGATGGAGACTGGGCAGTAGCCAAAACTGAGGCAAAGTGGGGATAGTGGGTTGGGGGTTCCCCAGGGAGGGGAGACCCAGATCGGTGGGGTACTGCCGGCCTGCAAAGGGTGCTCCTGGCTGGAAAAAGAGCTAATTCCCAGAAGTCACCAGCAGGAGGCGCCGCAGGGGTGAGTCCGCACGTCTACACGACCCTACTGAAGTTAATGGGGGTTGGCTTCAATGGAGTCACGAGTCACACAGCTGGTGTGTGGCAGAACTGGGAGCTGAGGCTGGAACCCCAGCCCATTACTGTAACCACAGGTCCATATTCCTCTGCCACGACATCAGTGTTTACTAGTGAAGAACAAGTCCCTGATTCTGATTCACTTCCACCAGCAGAAATCAGGAGTAACTCCAAAGGAGGTCCTGGAGTTACACTTATGTGAAACTGATGTGAGTCCAGAATCAGCCGCAGAGAGAACAGCTTCTATTGCCTTTGGCCTACCCACCAGCCTTCCCCTTTCCCTAATTCCCATTCAAACAAGGATATTAACCCATCATTATTACAATAAAGTTTGTCTTTTATTTCATTTTCAGGTGTTGGGGCTGCTTGTTTTCATAGCCTGTGTCCATTCCTTGCTGTTCCTGCTCTGATCTGATGAGAGCAGGACGAGAGATTGTAACAGACTCTGCCACATCCAGTTTCTTTCCTCTCTCTAGCACAAACCCTGATACACATGGAAGTGTGTGACCAGTTACTCGTGCCAAAAAGCAACTGTGCAGTCTTCTTTGTTCACCCATTTTAAATCACATCCTTTGGAAATGGTTAAAGCCAAACTCACGTCAAGGCTGAATTTGGCCCGTTGACTTTGAGGGTCTCGTTGCACTACAAAAAGAAATGGCCACTAGGCCATCTGTGTTTCAATGGAGTGGAAATAGGGTTGACTAACTATCTGAAGGAAAAGTGCTTTAAACTAGACTTGATCTGCCTATGGACTAAAACACTGTTCCCTAACACTGCTAGAGAACCAAGAAATGCATATGCTAGAATACAGTGCAGTACAGATGGGCACTTAAACAGGACGGAGCATGGCCAGCCCCTAAGGTGTGGTGAGGCCACTTTGCACTGCACCTCGGATGCATTCTGGCCCTCAAACCAGTGTAGCCAGACAAGGGAGGATGAGTATGGAGGCATGGCCAGAAGAAAGAGGGAGTGACCTGAGTGCCCTGTTCCTTGCTGATTCCTGGCTGCATTTGGCCCCTAGGAACCAGTGGCAGCTGGTACAACATAGATTTGCACTGCACTGAATACTTGCTCTGTCCTTTGCTCTTTGCACAACAACAATATGAAGACACCACAAGGGCACTAAATATGCCAGGCATGGCTACATACACATTGTTGCTCTGGCTGGTTTCTGGCACCTTCTAACACCGAGAACACAGTCAGTGCCACTGAAGGGTTCACATGCAGCTTAAAAGGATACTGCCCTGCTTTTACATGCTGTAGCACTCCTGGGCCATAGTGAAGTTTCTGGGTGAAGAGTTAGGACCCAGTCCTGCAAACACACATAGCTGGTCTTAACTTTATTCCCATGAGTAGCCCCAGTGATTTCAGGATCCAGACCTGAAGGGACAACTCGGTGACAGCTGCGGAAGAGAGCGAATGATAATGACAATTGGTAATAATTAATGAAGAATGAGGATGACTTAAAGCACAACAACGTATTGTGATGCCGGCATAAAAATTGAGTCTGGCTTTAAAATCCAAACACCTACAAACACTTTGCCTCACTGACATTTTCACAGACATAATCATTCTTCATAGTCTATATGGCTCTGATTCAGCAAAGCACATGCTAAACTTTAAAGGCTTGTTTACCTGGGGAAATTAGCAGAATGATAGCAGTATACTTATACCCTTATAGCAAGGTCCGTATAACTCCTTTTGTGGACACTCCTATTCCGGAATAAAAGTGACATTATGCTGGTACAATAGACATAATTATACAGCTGTCGTTCTTCTGGTCAATTTCCTATGTAGATAAACCCTAAGCATTTGAGCAGCTCTATTGACGTCAATGGGACTCCTGTGCTTAATGTTAAGCATATGCTTAAGTGCTTTTCTGGATCAGGGACCTTATGAATTATCCAACAAATACCCATCATTAACAATAACACTTTTCATATTCAATACACTGATGATCTAGTGCAATGGCAATGAACTTAAGATGGCAAGTTAAATAAATAGTGTAAGAGCATGTAACCGGGCTCAGTGCTGCCATCAGAGAGAAACTGCTCTGTGTCTCAGCATCAGATAACGAGCTGATGATCTAAGATCAATACACTCACACATCTACACGCGCACACACAACCAGGATATGAGCCACAACACATGGCCTCATCACGTCAGTTTGGGCCCATTATTTTCATACAGTTTTTAAAATTAAACACAGACGATTATTTTCTTTGACATGGAGCAACTTTGACGTGTCAGCTGTTAAATAAAAGGACCTTCAAACATAAAAGATTTTGGTCCCATTCTGCTCATCAGCAAATATCCCTGTATATCTTGTAAATTCATCAGCTGTGAACATATTGTCCCCAGTGCTTGGGTTTAAAGAAACAAGCAGGTGGCACTCAAAAGAATACATAGTTGATTCTGATCAAAGAGGGAGCGTTAACATCAATAACTGCTAGAAATATAATATTAAGTTGATCAGAAATTTTCAAGAAACATTTCCACCTATGAAACAATCTTTCATAGAATAGAATATCAGAGTTGGAAGGGATCTCAGGAGGTCATCTAGTCCAACCCACTGCTCAAAGCAGGGCTAATCCCCAGACAGATTTTTACCCCAGTTCCCTAAATGGCCCCCTCAAGGATTGAGCTCACAACTCTGGGTTTAGCAAGCCAATGCTCAAACCACTGAGCTATCCCTCCCCACTTCATCCTAGTTTATTCAGTCTCTAGTGATGAAACTTGGCCCATATACAGACACAAAAAACATTCACTGATGCTATCTTAGCTGTGGGAAAACATCCCCGTCAGGCATTTACCTTTGTTCTCTAAGAATTAGTCAGATGAGGATTTTTCGGTCAGAGGTAACTTGGCAACTAACACAGAGTCCAGACCTCTCGCTTTTTGTCACCCAAACACACTGTGGCTCTGCCCATCAGTTATTCTCCTCCAAATGTCTGCTGTGCTGACTCACAGGAAGTCTGTATCAGGGCTCTAAAAGCTACCGGGGAAAGGGTAAAACACAAGGCAGAGAAACAAAGCCGGGAAAGAGAAAGAGGCTGGGAAATGCTGGTGGAGTTGGAAAACAGCTGGCATACGGGCAGAGCCGACGCACCCTGGCATTGCCAGCCCCATCAGTTCTCCCCTGAGGATGCCATCAACATTAGCTCACCCTGGGCATTAGCTGCACAGCTCCTATTCTAGGGGATTTGCAGTGCCTTGCTGGGAGTTGTAGTCCTCCTGAGTGAGCAGCAAACAATGACTAATGTTTCTTTTTAAAATGAGTCGCCTGCTTTGAATACAGCTATTAGTCCCTTGGGCGGAACATTTAGCATGACCTCAAGGGAGCGGTAATTAAGGAGAATAAAGAGCAACTGCTGCAGAGCCTTAGGGAGAATTTTTTCCAGGAACACTTTCCCTTTATTCTGGGGGCATGTGGCAAGGCAGCGAGGCGGAGGAGTTGGTCAGGCTGCATGTGGTTGACCTATATATTGAAGATGCACCAGGCTGTGTAATAAACAAAGTCCTGGTCCAGCTACTTAATCGTGCCAACAAACTTTGATTTCCATCTTCTCCTTAATTCTTATGCTGCTGCTGTTAGGGCTACCTGCTGGGAGGGTCATCAGAAACAAAATGTAGCTCCTGATTGGGACTAACACTCCTAGCTTGGGACAGAATCTGTGTTCTTGTTGTTGTCAGCTTGGAGGGCAGAGCTGGTCAGCCAGCTTGCAAGTTAGTGTGACAAACACAGAGACACAATTTGCAGGCCCTTTGTGCCTGTTGGGGTGTGCAGAAGCCATCCCTAGCCTGGCAGGAAGGAGTTAATACTTTTGGCCTTGGAAGAGCGGCAGCTGGCTGCAATCAGTGCAAGGGCATTTAGGAGTGGCCAGGGGCCTGCCTGTGGGGACTAGCTAAAGCAGGGGAGGGAGGTGCCGTACTGCAGGGCAGCAGAAAGCTGAACTGGCAGGGAAAGCCATAGTAGACAAGGCTTTGGTGTGAGGATAGGGAACGCCAAGGGGATTGTGATGAGCCAGGGAAGAGAGATCAGTTAGAGGCTCTGGTGGGACGAGCTGGTGAATTCTGGAGGCTGCGAAGTCTCAGGGAGAGCCGGGATGCGAGGGTGGAGGGTGAATGCTCCGTATGGGGGCATGACCCTGGGAGGGGAGCTGCTCATTTGACACGCAGCCACTGTGTGGAGCTGGCTTTCCTCAAAGAAGGGAAACTGAGGCACAGCAGTGTAGCCAGGAAGGGAGTCCCAGCAAAACAGGAAAACAACTGCCCCACTGCAAATCTCAGCAGCACATAGGACAGGTGCACAATGGAAATAGAATGGAAGTACTGGGCTACGCATAATGAATTGCTGCACAGTTCACGATAATATTTGAACGCTGGGTTTGAAAGAGTGAGAGAGTGTGTTTGCGAGAGAGGGGTCAGGGAGGGGAGGAGATGAGAGAGGGAACCCCCTTATGGGCAACAGTTAAAACACTGGAAAATATTCCACCAACTTCCCTAACTCACACACCAGGTAATCCTATATGAGAGGAAGAATTCATTATATTAATAATAAATGTAGTAGGTTTAGTGCATATATTTTACACATAAGGCATATTACGTATCTGTTTGGAGGGATGGAATGAAAATTGCCCGTGTGTGTATATGTATATTGAGCTGGTTAGAAAATAGCTTCTCTTTTTCTCCCCCCTTCGGTATAATTTTGACTTTTCAGTGAAAAAACAAAAACAAGAAAACCACAGGAAAGTTCAGTGGTAAGATTGTTGATCAGCCCTAATATCTCTCGCACACATTTTCAATCTGTACCCCCAAAATCTTCTCAATGACGTTGGAGTGGGAGAAGATTTTGGGGGTACAGATTGAAAATGTGTGCGAGAGATATTAGGGCTTCAATGAAACTTTTTGATGCTTCCGAGACGGCATTTCAAAATGAATGGTAGTGTTTCCTTTCAAAATGCCCATTTAAAATTAAATATTCTGAATTGATACTTTGTTTCAGTTGAAAATGCTGAAATGTTGCATTTTGAGGCTTCCAAACTGAATTTTTTTGGAACGTTTCATTCTGTGAAAATGTGATATTTTGGCTCTTCATCCCAATTCAGGATGAAAACAAAGAGCAGCATTTTCCCTGGGATAGAAATTAAATTTTTTGACCAGCTCTATCATTACGCTCCTGGGTAGTCCCACTGATTTCACTGGGTTGAGGCCTACGAGTTGTCCCTGCATCCACAATAATTCCTAGGGCAGATCTTTTAGGAAAACATCCAATCTTGATTTAAAAGTGGTCAGTGATGGAGACTCCATCACAACCTTTGGTAAATTGTTCCAATGGTTAATTACTCTCGCTGTTAAAATTGTCTTATGTCCAGTCTGAAT